TTGCAGGAATTGGTTTTCCCCTTCCACCACGTGAATCCTAGGATCAAACTCAGGTTGTCAGGCTTGGTGGCCAGTACTGAGCCATCTTACTGGCTGCTCTCTTTATATATATTTATCTATATCTCTATTTTAATATACATATTATTAAAGAAAAACATTTTATCCCTTAAATACCTCTACTGATCCTTCTCCATCTTCCTGTATCTGCACTTAGATCAAGTGTTCATTAAATCAGTATCTCTTATTAATCATGCCCAGACTTTATTAGTATGTTCTGTCTCCACTGTCTGAGGCTAGAATTACAGGTGAACCTTTGTGCTCATTTGGCAGTCATGTGGGTTCTGGGAATCTGAACCCCAGTGTCTTGTTCAGCCAATGCTTTAACTGCAGAGCTACTGATTGCCCTTCCTTCTCCTCCTCCTCCTCCTCCTCCTCCTCCTCCTCCTCCTCCTCCTCTTCCTTCTCCTCCTCCTATTTTGATTTTTTGAGACAGTAGCTTTGGGGCCTCTCCTGGAACTAGCTCTTGTAGACCAGGCTAGCCTCGAACTCAGAGACATCTGCCAGCCTCTGTCGCCCGAGTGCGGGGATTAAAGGCGTGTGCCACCACCACCTAATGTGATTCTCTATCTAATTGTACTTTTTACGTCAAATTTTTGAAGCAGTATTGTGGCAGGACTGGGCTACATTTCAGAGGTAAAAGTATCAACTACAAGATCCACTGGTAGGGATCCCAAGCAAGCCACAGGAAACTGAACGAGAGTCCCCAACTCAGTTCTTAAACTCTTATTGTTCAGTGAATAATAATATCTGGTAATATCTCTCGAATTCCTATTACTATCAGGCCCCAGGAACTTTACATATACTACTTTGGTAAGTTTTATTGTGTCTTGAATGTGAACTGTCCCCTGTGGGCTCAGGTGTTTGAACTCTTGGGTCCTCAGCTGCTGCTGGTGTTTTGTACAGGTGATAGACCCTGGCTGGAGGAAGTGGGTCACTAGGGATGGCCTTAAGGCCTGGCCCCGTGTCATCCCTGCTGTTTTCCAGCTGTCGCATGCTTACGCATGCATGCCCATCCTGGCGTGATGGACTGAATCCCTTCCTGAAGTGTAAGCTGACACAAGCCCCTCTCACCTTAAGTTGCTCTGCTCAGATATTTGCTCACAACAATGAGGAAAGCATCTCGCATATCACAGGTACCCTAGAGAGTCCTGGAGAGAAGCAGGATGACAAGGCAGATCAATCAGAACTTCCCCCATGTGGGGAGGTTAGAAGGTTGCAAGTTCCCAGCCATTTTTAAAGCTATCTTTAGCTTCTTTAATGATCGTCCACTACCCACTGCTGTATGTGACCTAATACCCTGTGACCTAATACCCTTGTGAGTGTTAGGTAAGCCCTTTGGAATGTAGGAAGGGACTCTACCAATCCGGAAATTAGGAATGCCAACAGATAGCATCTGAAGCCTGTAATAGGAATCTCCCCACTTTGCTCTAACCCACCTTCCTGATTTCAATGTATTTGAAAAATGGGTTGACACATGACTTCTATGAGCACAGAAACTTCATGAAACCAGTGCCATGCTGGAACATGGAATTTGGAGTAAACTAAATCTGTGTTCCTGGGCTATGGTCATCATATTTGGTTCACAATAAACTCACCTCCTTTGAGGTCAGAACTGTGTTGTTGTTGTTTAATCTTTTTATTTGTTTTAAGATTTTATTTATTTATTATGTATACAGTTCTTTGCCTACATGTATGCTTGCAGGCCAGAAGAGGGCACTAAATGTCATTACAGATGGTTGTGAGCCACCATGTGGTTGCTGGGAATCGAACTCAGGACCTTTGGAGAAATCAGTGCTCTTAACCACTGAGCCATCCCTCCAACCCCCAGAACTGTGTTTCTTGCATTGATATCTTACTATTGACATCTTAGAGACTGCAACAGAGAAAGTTATAGAAAGATGTAACAAGCCACCTTGCAGGTCAGAGCTGGGTCTGTGGTTCTTTTTTTTTTTTAATATTTATTTATTTATTATGTATACAATATTCTGTGTGCATGTCTGCAGGCCAGAAGAGGGCACCAGACCTCTTTACAGATGGTTGTGAGCCACCATGTGGTTGCCGGGAATTGAACTCAGGACCTTTGGAAGAGCAGGCAATGCTCTTAACCACTGACCCATCTCTCCAGGCCCCTGGGTCTGTGGTTCTAACCTCTTGCTTTCTGAAACATTTTAACCCTCCTTCTGAGGGTTAAATGCAGAGTAACAGCTCAGCATCACACCCTCAGAGAGGCCTCTGCTGAGCTTGCCTTGAACAGCGCTTTATGATTCCCTTCAGATCATACATTGCAAATGACTTCTATTTACTTGCTGTATTTTCTTGGTGGGGGGATACTATCCTTCTGGTTAGAACCTGAAATCCATCAAGGCAGAGATCATGTCTGTTCTCAGTGTTTTGCACAGATCTAGCAAACAGTAACTGTTCTGTGTTTGTTCGTGAATAAGTGATAATGACTTCAGAATTCATTTTTCTCCCAGTCATTCTACAACACAATCAATACATGGAAATATCCCATTTATACATAACAGTGTAGTTTGGACTCTGGTTGGTATTCAACCACAAGCTTATTTTTCTATGCATTCCCTGGAAACTTTATCACTGTGGTAACAAACTTCTGGGAGTAGGAATATCAGTTTCAAAGACAAAAGATACACATAAAAATACAAACCCAGGTGCATAAAATAATAAGCCAAACTGAACTGACACACACCAAAAATATACCAGGGTGTATTGTTGGAAAAACATTTATTGCAATTCAGTGTCAAAAAATGTTTACAAAAATATGCCACTGTCTGGTACAAACAACTATAAAAAAAGTCCGTGCAAGAAAGGTGTGCAAATAAGTTATGCAAGACTCATTTAATATATATATATATATATATATATATATATATATATATATATATATATTTGGTTTTTCGAGACAGGGTTTCTCTGTGGCTTTGGAGCCTGTCCTGGAACTAGCTCTTGTAGACCAGGCTGGTCTCAAACTCACAGAGATCTGCCTGCCTCTGCCTCCCGAGTGCTGGGATTAAAGGTGTGCGCCACCACCGCCCGGCAGGACTCATTTAATATTAAACAATCAGTTTTGCATGTAATCCGTCTAACCTTATGCATTTAGTTAAAACATTCCACCCACTCTAATATTTTTCTTTAAAAAGTACACTTAAAGCGTCTAAGCTTAGACATGGACTATAATATACACTCTCTTTAGCCAGGGTGACTGGCATTTGGTAGTATAAAGATGACACCAAAGGCTCCCAAATATGGAGCAGGGATTGGAGCCATCTGTTAAACAGCCTTGCGCACAGTTAACAAACGTGTCTATTATACTCACAGACAGTCCTATTCAGTAATGTTGAAGCATCCAGAGCATCCAGAAATTTGGTGTTCGGATGTAGCCATCCATTTCCAGCCAATTAGAGCTTTCTCAAGAAGCTTTGCTTGCTGAAGTCAAGAACACTTTGAAAAAGGCGTACCAGACAAAATTCATGGCTATCACCATCCCTTGCCTTATGGGATAAATTCTGCTAAATGCAAACAAGGTTGAACAGAATGAACTCCCACCAGACAGAACCTCACTGGATCTTATAGTGGGGATCACGGGTAAGAGGAACAAGAAGGAGGATGGATGGCTTAAATGTACCTTTCCATTTCAGGGGTACCAGCAGGAGCAAGGTCAACACTTAGCTATTCTTTTGTGTATATTTGCACATGCATGCATGCACATGTGTGTGTGTGTGTGTGCGCACGTATACATGCATGCATGCTAGTATGCCTGTATGTGTGTGCACATGCATATGCATTTAGAGGTCAGGGCAGATACTGGGCATCTTCCTGGATCTCTGTCCACTTTTCATTTTGAGGCAGGGTCTCTCACTGAGCCTGGGTATCACTTGATTCTTTAAACTGGCTGGCCCATCAACTCCCCATGCACGAAAGTTCATGCTTGGTTTTGACAAGGAATTCATTTGATGGGGAACTCAGGTCCCCATGCTTCCGTAGCAGGCACTTTATCAACCAGCCATCTCCCCAGGACCCTGTATCTATTCCTATAAGGGCATGATGTAAAAACCCAAGGGAAAGGACGAATTTGTCAAAAAAAAAAAAAAGCATGCCGCCTGCTTCCAGCTGTTTTTGAAACAAGGCCGTGCTATGTAGCCCAGGCTAGAAGTCCAGTTCTCCCGCCTCTGCAGCTTACAGGTGTGCACCACACACCTGGTGTGCTAGTTGCTTCCTACTAAGCAGGCTGTGCTCAGTGGAATGCTGTGGTAGCAGCAGAATGAGAGGGTGTGAAAACGAAAAGGGATGTCTTAGCTTATCTGGTAAGAACCAGCCTTAGAAGGTTTGGAAGACTTGGTGGCAGACCCCCATCGTGGGATGGCCTCCCAAGCCTCCCACAGTGAGGGTCTTTGGAAGAATCACACTGAGTGTCGTGAATCTACGGATACCCACAAGGTGCTTAGGACTCACAGCTCTGGCATCAGGAAGCTCCAGGTCTCTGTTCAACTCTGTTGACTTCCCAAGGAGTGCAGAGGAAGGCTCCTCCCCCCAAGCCCCCCAGTTCTGGAAAGGCTTCCTCATCTTGAAAGGCAGAAACGTCAGACTGCATCCTCTCTAACAACCCTCCTTGGTCTAAAGTCTGGGATGGGAATCTCCTTCATTTAGAAAACCAAAGGTGGTTTTGTTGTTTTCTGTTTCAGCAAAGCAGAGAAAACATTGACAGAAAACATAGACTTTAGAAGAATTACTACCTTGTTTGTTGAGCCATAGATGGCCCATTATACATCAAAGAGTAACATCCCTGTGTTTGCCCAGAGGTTCAGGGTGTTTCTGAGTCTGTTTAAGCACTAACAGGTTTCAAGCCAGCATCCAGTCAGAAGAGATGGTTCACAGGCTCAGATAGTTGGAAACAGATTAAAAAAAAAAAAAAACAACAGATGTCAACATAGAAAATGATAGAGTTTAGTTAAAAAATGCACACATAAAATTACAGTCAAAAATTCACACATAAAATTTAGAGTGTTTTCACAGCAAGATGTTATTGCCCCACAGCCAGGCAGAAAAATATAAACCCAGGTGCGTGTTTTATAATAAACATTGTTTCCAACGCCGAGAACCATATACCGCTAAACGTCTCCTGCGGCGACTTCTCTCTCCTTCTCTCTCTGTGAATCATACCAACTGCTTAGACAAACCAAATTCCCAACCTTTTCTCTTCCATGGTAAACAATAAAAATAAGGCATCTGTGTCAAGAGCAGCCTCCTCACGTTGTGAGGCCACAGGGATGAGCCACCCACAAGCTGGCTTCATGGTCACAAGGAGATGGGATCGTCAGCTGAGAGCTTTTGCAGCGCAAGTATCTTGTCCAGACCACTTCCACCTGAAACTGGTCATTACTAGTCAGAAAGTTCTCCTAGCTGATGGGCTCGGGATCCCACCTTGTGGCTTCGGATTCTTTCTGCCACCCCTTTTCCCCCATTCGACTGACACTCCTGTCCATTCAACCACGCTGAGTAATGACCCGAGCTAGTTGGCAGTATCACTGGGCTGATTTTTTTTTTTTTACCGGCTCTTGCTTTAAAAGGAACATTCCTAAACTCTATATGGAATGGTTCTCTCTCTTCAGAGACTCTCAGCTGATTGTTCTTAAGTAAGTTTTGATTCACCATCTCCCTGGGTTTGCTCATATGACTTGGAAAGAACCTTTTCCTCTCTTGCTGCCTGAATGACTTCAGGGTGGGCATAACTCAAGTTCTGTTTTACAGCATGCAAAGGAGGGACAGGAGGGTACAGTAGGAGAGAGAAAACAGATTTTTTCTTTGTGTTGGAAAAAATTCTTCTAGCAATTTCTATATCCACGCCCCTCTCACTTTTGTAGCCAGGTTTTTGTGTCTTAGGTCTGGGAGTCCTGGGTGGGTTTGCCAAGAGGAATTCTATAGACTTATTCCTGTTCTAGGAGCAACACTTTTTAAGTCCGGTCATTTGTATGTGAGGCTCTAGCCATGCCCTAATATGGATATCTTGCCTGCTCTTCTCTCCATTGCTCCTCCCTGCTACACGACATCAAAGATGTTCCATTACTACTCCTCCCCCACTCCCTCTCCACCTGCCAATCCTTCCTATTTTCTACTAACCAATGAAAGTGACCCATACATGCTCCTTTTTCCTTTTAAATCAATTCTTTGGCTGTGTCACATACCATATCCAATGACACCAAGGTTCATGGAGGATCTACAGGCACCTAGCCAACATTTCAAAAAGCTGGGACCTCACTGCTTGGGGTCAGGGTCATTTTACACAGAGACAGATGGTTGCCTGGGGCATGTAGGATGTATGCCTTGTGCATTGTTGGCACTCCATGAGACTGGCTCACCAGTTTTCTGCTGGCAGTTCAAAGTAGGCAAAGTTGCTGTAACTGTAAATAAACCCCAAGGTCCCAACAACTTTCCATCTCTAAACAACTTGAAAAAGCGGTGGTAACAAGCTGATAAGAACATGTGAAAGGCCATGATCCCCTAACCCTAACAGTGTCACTTAGAGTCACTGTTTCCAGAGCTTTCCATAGCAATGGCAGACCCAGCTCCACCCCACTTACAGAAGGTGAGGTATTGTAGAGAGTCTGACAATTATGGAAAAAACGTCTGCCTTCTTTCCTTCCTTCCTTCCTTCCCTTTCCTTTCCTTTCCTTTCCTTTCCTTTCCTTTCTTTCCTAGTCTAAGCCCTTAATGTAAAAATAATTCTGGGGAGAAAAGTTAAAAAAAAGCAAAAAACTAAAAAAACCCACAAAACCAAATAGAAAAACTCCTAGCTGTTACAGGTTTGTAGTATCTAAAGTTCAGCTTTATACATCAAATCTTGTTCTTTTACAGTTCCCTTTCCTCATTACGGGCCTCTGAATTCAACTTAATTTCTCCCTCAAGGAAGAAGGAAATATGGAGAACTTTTGGTGTAAGTACAGATACTGCAAACCAGGGAACCCTGCAGACTTCATCTGCCCACGCGGCACTGACCTGAGCGTACTCTATTACTGAAGGCAGAGGTGTTGACTGTCTCTTGTTTCTATGTATGCTCGGTCACCTTTCCTTTCCTTCGAGGACCACCCCAAGCATCAGTGCTTCAGGTTACACAATCCCTCACTTAACATCTATGTGGACACATTCCTACTTCTGATTATTTACCAAGGATGTGCATAGTGGTAGTTTTATTTGGAGATTTTTTTTTAAAAAAGCAAATACAACTGCAAATATATGTACATTGTAGAAAAGCAACAATCTATAAAAAGTAAAAAATAACATTTCCCCCACCCCAGGAATTAACTCCTGAAGTCCTGAGATTTGCTTTCTTCCACAGTGTTCATATCTCTGCTTTGCAAGACCCCCTGGGATCCTTTGTCTTTTGCCTCTCTTTGTTTTAACTCAGTCTTGAAACAAGCTTAAGATGAACTCAGCTCCCTATCTAGCTGGAACTCCAGGCTTCCTTTTAAATCACGCATGTGAAAAGTCCCCATTCAGGATGACTCAAGTTCGATGCTAAACCTAAAGAACAGAAAGAGCCTCAGCTCCACACCCCACCAAGGGGAAGCAGCAGCTATCAGAATGCTTAATTGGCTGGTGTGAAAAATGTCTCTCTCAAGCCTCAGTTCTTAGACTCCACTAAGTTCACTAATCCATGACGACACCCATGGAAGACCAGACAAGCCCAGAAGTTAAGCTAGAGGAGAGTAGAGTTAAATCAGAAGCGCCAAGCCACCATCTACAGGTGCCCAATTCTAGTTCTTCGTGTCTTCTGCTGGAGCTGTTCTTAGGCTGGCCTTCTGTTTCTGTACATGAGCTACAACATGGAAGGAAAGAAGGTGTAGACTGGGAACAAAGAAGGGAAGGGAAGTCAGAACCAAGGTTGTTTCTAATAGCCTTCCCATCTCAGATCTCTTTACAGATGAAAGAACTTACATGAAACACAGACATTGCCTGCTAGATAGTGCATGCTGCCAGAGAGCAAGCTACGCTTTCAGAGGTAGACCATTGTGTGGCATCTTCGTAGGATCAGGCCTTATGCCTGCGTAGGTGTCCAATGGGTGGACTTCTTCGCCTGTTCAACAAATCCCATTCAACAAATCCCAAATTGAAACCCAAAGCCCAAGGCTTCCTCAGCTGCAGCATTCATTCTCCTTCTTCCTCATTTTGTCCTAACAACATCATCACATTGTAAACAGAGGGTTCTGTCTGGTATTTGAGTTTTGTGTCTTTTTTTCCTTCCTAGGGAACTAGGAAGTTTCCATGAACATCAGGAGGGCTCCGTTTTTCACGGCAGACAGAGAGTTCTCGCCCTTAGAGTCTCGCTGGCAAATTCTTGGGGGAGAAGAAAAAGTCTATTTACAGTATTTCCGCGTTTCCGTACCAGTTCTAGTGCGCAGTTCACATTTGTAAGTCCCCATCGGCAGCTTCGTCCCTTCCCTCCACCGTCTTCTCAGGGACTTCGCTCACAAGTTTCAAGCCAGTGCTTACAAGGTACACTATTTACAAAGGAAGTCTCCGAATTCCCAGCCATCCGATCAGCGGGGAGTGAGGGGGGGGGGGGGGGGGGCTTGTGAAGTGCCGTCTTGAGGTGGGATTCAGAACTTGAACAAGTTGATGAAGTCCTGCGGGGAGAGTGAGACCAAGCAGCTCTCCGGGTTGTTGGCTGTGCACGGGTGGTCAGTGCCCTGAAAACAGCATCATGGTTAGATCCGAGTTCTCAGGGGCAGCTCCCTGGCTCTCTCGGGCCTTGCCCAATCTCTTAGCAACTCTGTCAAGAATGCCACTACAGGGGCTGGAGAGGTGGTTCAGCGGTTAAGAGCAGGTACTGCTCTTGCTGAGGACCCAAGTTCTGGTCTTGAACGTGGGTCAAGTGGCTCACAACCACCTGTAGCTTCAGCTCCAAGGTACCCGACACCATCTTCCAGCCTCTGCAGGCACCGCTCTCATATGCACATAACCACATATAAACATGTATGCATGTTTATGATTAAAAAGGCCAATAAATCTTAGAAGGAAAAGAATGCCACTGCATTCAGGGGGCGAGTGGAGTGGCTGGTACGTGACCGTGAGGACCTGTGTTTGGATTCCCAGTACCCACATGAAAGCTGGGCATGGAGGCCGGCATCCTGTAACCCTAGCACTGGGGGTGAAGCAGAGCAGATGGGGCCCTGGAGCTCATGGGCTGGCTAGTCTAGCCAATCTGGTGAGTTCCAGGTTCATTTTTTGTTTTTTTTTTTAAGGTGGTGAGCTACTGATGAAAAAGGAGACTGTGACCTTAGGCCTCCATACACATGGGCTCATATGTGCACACACACAACACATCTGCACATACTATCCCTCCCCTCTAAAGGGATTCCACAGCACTGAGAAGCTGAAGAATTCGTGTTTGCCTATGTGTTCCCCTGTGCACACAAAGATAGAATATGTGGTAAGCGGGTTTCAGAGACAAATCACCGTAAGGGGTGGAAGAAATGAAGGGAAATGAAGGCCTTGCAGTTGCTCTTCCCTGTCCAAGTGCTGAATGAGTTTCTCTCTCCTCTTAGGTGGAGGGCTGAGATAGGAAAGAACAGGGAAGAGCTGGCCTCACGTTGCTGACAGGGCTGGAGGCAGAGACTGAAACACAGGCCATGGAGAGTGTTGTTTAAAGGCTTGCTCTTCAGCTTGCACGACCAACTTCGTTACCGAAGCCCGGCAGTGGCCCTGCTCAGTCAGCTGGGCCCTTCCACCTCAATTACCGATCGAGAAAATGCCACACAGACTTGCCCACAGGCCAATTTTGTGGGGGGTATTTAATAAACTGTGGCTCCCTTTTCCAAAAGGACGCTAGCTTGTGTCAAGCTGACAGAACCCTAGCCAGCGCAGGCGCATACCTTCCAGGAGAGGATGTGGCAGTGTCTGCAGAGCTGCAGGGTGTCCCCATACTGCTCTCTCCTTGGGTAACATCGGATCAGCTTAAAATACATCTTCTTCCAATCCAGCTGTCCTTTGTCCGACAAGATTAATCGCTTGCGGATCTGAAAAATCAAACGGAGAAAAGTAATTTCCAGAGAGTCCACCAAGAGGACAGTTTGGGGTTTTCTGGTTCCAAAGATGTGCTCCCACTCTTCCCCCCACGTTTTTACAGGGACCCTAGAAAGGCCCAGGAAAGAAAGCTGTCAAGTTGGAAAGCAGCTTTCTTAGCTCTCCTGCTTACTGGGTGCTGTTTAGCCAGCTTTCAGAAGAAACAGGGAACTACGCTTTCCTAATGGTTGAGTGCAGTGCCTCCGACTGGTTAAAGCTTAGGCCGCTCCCATAAGCCACTTTTCTTCGCTGTCGACCTGGACAATTATTTCTAGGAAGGCTCAGTCACTAGCATCATGGCTCTATTTTATGTTTAAGTATCAGTGGCTTCATGAAAAGAACCTGTTGAATTAATGCACAGATGAAGAAATTGGTAAAACAACCCTGGATGAGGAATAGGTTTTGAGGGCGCCCTAGGGCATCCGTGGGCCCAATTCAAATGTAGGGTCAGCTGTCTCAGCCTAAGGGTCACTTCACTAATCTGAATGCACCAGTTGGTCATTATGGCCTTGGTCTCTTCACCTGTTTGAAGGGGGCATGATAATATCTACCCTTCCTGGGTGGGGAGGGTGAAAGGAAACACTCTTCATAAAAGTGCTTGAATATAAAGCACCATAAAAAGGTCTTTTTTTTTTTTTTAAAGAAAAGAGGCAATATCAATTTGTGAAAATTTTGTGTGAGCCATAAAATGTAATTTGGGGTAAGGATTTATCTTTCCCTAATCAAGACAATGGTGACAATGACAAGGAACCAAAAGCAAAAAAACCACACATTGACTTAGGAATGTCTTAGACCAGTGGTCACCTAAGACCACTGGAAAACACAGTTATGTATGTTGTGATTCATAACAGTAGCAAAATGACAACTGGGAAGGAGCAAGGAAAATAATTTTATGGTTGGGGGTCACCACAACATGAGGAACTGTACTGAAGGATCGAAGCATTAGGAAGGTTGAGAACTGTGGTCTTAAACTGTTGCTTTCTAGTAAACCAGGCATTCTAGGAGGCAGGCAGTCCCGCTTCATGCTGGAGAAGGATGGGTCTTTTCAGGGTAGGGGCAGATCAGGGAGCACGAGGAGCGGGCCACTGGGCTTCACTGACCTGTCGTTCTGAGAAGTGGTACTGGCAGAGTCTCTTCCACAGCAGCCGGTCCTCACTGAGCACAAGAAGGTCTGGGGCTGCCTGGCCCAGGCTGACCAGGTCCCGCCCATCACTCAGTCTCTGCATGATGTTCAGTTGCAAGCACACAGGCAGATCCGTGAAGGTGAGGCCTTTGAAGGCAGGCTGCAGAGAGAAGGCCAGATGATAAGCCGGGTGTTAGAGAAGAGCCATTTTCTTGCCATAGCTTGCTCCCAGAACGCCACGGTCCCCAGATCCTGCAATCTCAAGCTGGCTTATCAACAGGTAGATTCCCAGAGCTGTGATGCTCCCAGTCCAACAGGTAGAAGTAGGACCGATGGCAGAGCCTCCAGAGGACAGCCAGGAGTGTCTTGGCTGACTGCAGCCTGCTGGCTTTCCCTGTCCTTGCAACCTTCTGCTCTAAAAAGACTACCCAAACAGCATATGTTGAACTCTTTTTATTATATTTTTCCTTTTTTTTCTTTTTCTGAGACAGGGTTTCTCTGTATAGCTTTGGCTGTCTTGCAACTCACTTTGTAGACTAGGCTAACCTCAAACTCAAGAAATCCACCTGCTTCTGCCCTCCAAGGGCTGGGATCAAAGGTGTGCATCACCACCATCGCTATATTTTTCTTTATTTTTGAAATTTTCTTAAAAGTAAACAGTGACATATGATACTATCTACCCCATTTCCCTCTTCTAACCCCCCTGCACCCAAAAGGTTCCTCTCAACTTCAAGTCCTTTTAAAAGATTGATTTTTCTGTGTTTGCGCTGCAGAGGTCAGAAGAGGGTGTTGAATCCATCGGAACTGCAGTTATGGATGGTTACGAGCTGTCATGTGGGTGCTAGGAACTAAACCCAGATCCTCTGCTAGAGCAACAAGGGCTCTTAACCACTGAGCCACCTCTTGAACCTCTCATGTTTGTTTGTTTGCCTGGATAGCTCTCTAAGTCTAATTAGTGCAGCCCATGTGTGCACGGTGTGGGGCCACCCACTGGAGCATGGGAGCACATTGGATTTCGTGCTTTGTTAGCTTCACTATTCAACTTCAAGACTCACTGCCTTCCAAAAGTGCCACCGCCCTGATGGGTGGCCTAGGCAGACACCTAGCCTCTCATCTCACTGTCCTCTGTGACTTCAGATCATTCCACTTCAGTGCACTCTCTGGCACCCAAACCATATCTTGCTTACCTATGCACAATGCCCTCACCCACCTGGCCTTCCTTCTCTTGTCTCTCAAACCCACTTCAAACCTATTGCCACTGGGTATGGTGGTCCTCGCCTTTAATCCCAGCATTTGGAGGTAGAGAGAGGAGGAGATGTGTGTGCTCATGGCCAGCTTGGTCAACATAACAAGTTCTAGGACAGCCAGGGCTACATAGAGAGATCCTGTCTCCAAAAACCAAGAACCAAATACCCAACAAAGAAAAACAAAACTCAACCATTTCATTTGACCTTTACTATCTATGTATTCCCCCCCCCCCCGCACCCTCCTTAGGTCTCCTTCACTGTGCCTTCTTAGAACTCCTACGAGCTCCCTCAGTGACTGACTGCAACCCCCCCCCCTTTCTGCACAACCCCTTCCTTAAGAAAGGCTAAATGGAGCATTGCTTTCAGAACCTAAGGTCCTTGACAGCAGGGGGTTGGCTTTGTTTCACTGTTGTGTCCTGATGTCCACAATGTTTGGCACACCATAAGCACTCAGTAAATATTAGTGTAATGGATTAAATCCAAATAGTTGAACAGGAAAAAAAAAGAATAACACAAAGACCTTGTGCATGTGTTTGTGTGTGTGTGGTATGTGTGTTTACAGGACTATATGGATGTACTTATATGCATCTGTGTGGGTTTGTGTATGTTTGTTTGCATTTATAAATACGTATGCTTGTGCATTTGTGTTTGTGTGTATATGTTTGTGCACACACTGGGAATGGCTGGCCCCAAAACCTTTGAGCTAAAGCTCTACTGTAACTGAGGACACCAGGGAACATTTAATTTAAAAATTTTTAAATTTATCCTACAAATATGAGTGTTTTGCCTGCATGTATGTGTGTACACCACATGTATACTTGATGCCATGGAGATCAGAAGGTATTGGGTCCTCTGGAACTAGAGTTACAGATGGTTGTGAGCCACCATGTGGGTGATGGGAACAGAACTCTCAACTGCTGAGTGATCTCTCTAGCCCCTCCAGGGGATGTTTTAAAAACTGTCCATTTACATATAATACACATATGCAATCAACCTTGAGCTTCTGAAGGAACTTCCACTATACCCTCAAACTTATATTCAAGCCCTTTCTTATTTTAAAATTTGATCATCTCAAGATACCTCACCTAGACCTATATCCTTGAAGGCAGGACCTATATCTTGTAGGCCTTGGAGACTAATCCAGCACAAACAGTCCTTGGGGTGCTTACTGGACAGGCACAGAGGAAAAATAATAATAGGGATTATTTTTCTCATCAAATTTCTGGGGCAGGACCTGTAGGAAGCACAGCAAAGCCCAAACACATGGGGACTCCAGGGACTACTTGGTACCAGCCTCATCGGGATGATGCCAAGTTCCATTTGATCTTGTCAATCACCTGAGTCCTCTGGTAGGCAAGACATAAACTGATGGGAAGAGAGGCCACAGAAGGAGGACTTAATGGGAGCTGCTGAGGAGAATGGATGTAGCAAGGGAGGAATGTGATGGGGGCAGACAGCATCCTGGGAAGTCTGGGCCTCAGTTTCCCTAGCTCCCAAAGACTATGTTTAGAATACTGAAGATTCCTCTAGCCCTAATGATCGCAGGCCTGCAGCGACTCAGGCCTCCTGTTTCAGAAGTGTCTGTGATTTGACAATTTTTACTGCTCACTTCTACCGCAGGCTGTTGGGCTGAACTCAATTGGTTTGCAACATTCAGGCCTTTGTGTGACCGCAGAAAGCCCTAGACCTATTTGTCATTTATCATCTGCTGTTGATCATATGAGCTAATAAAACTGCCATGGGATTTTCTTTTTGTTTCCAGCACTTCAAAGCCTCTACTTTTTTGGTTAAAACTCCCAGGCCAATTATTACATTAACTCCTATTAAAGGCAAGTTGGCCTGGCAGAGTTTGCTCTGTCAGATTTTCAAACCTGAACTTTTCCAAAACCCTTGCCCAGAACCTCGTGCCAAGCCCTTATTCCTGATAAATGGTTAACTGCTTACATGCCTTCTCCCTTTCGAATATAAACATATAAAAGGGAAAATATGTCACTCTTGCAGCCTTAGCCAAGCATTTGGCTGAACTCCATTTTGTCTTACCCCAGCCCCCATTTTCCAAAACATTGCTTTGCCCACAGCACTGTAATTATATTTTATTTTCCCCCTGAAAACCAGTTCTCTTAATTTCGTCCTTCATCCTTTGTTCTTATATAAGTTACATTTACAAATAAAAATTGGCTTGAAAGAATTAGACATGAAGATTTCTAAGGCAAACAAGGTTATGTGCCGAGACAACAGTGGCAGATCGTGGGCAGATAGGGAAGCTTTTACTATGAAAGGCATTTTAATATTTTCATGGATTAATATTCATTTCTTTCTGAGAAACACAGAACTATCATCCAGACTGAAGTGATTCAACTTTCTTGTTCCCTCACTGTCCCTCGACTCCCTCATCTGCCCCCCACCCCGCCCCAGGATCTTATAGCCCAGGCTGGTTTCAGATTTTTTCTATAGTTGAGGATGACCTTGAACTCCCCATTCTCCTGCCTCCACTTGCCAAGTGTGTTAAGATTAGAAGATCCGTAACAGTTGGGGATCTGTGTGGGAAGCTCTTCTTGACAGCTCTCAGAACAGCATAACTCAGAGCCCCCTAGTGGGTTCAGGAAAGGAGCAGCATAGCCTCTGGGAGCAGCCTGTTCTGGAGTTTGATGTCAGACATCCTGGTATAGAAGCCCCAACACAGTTCCACTCTGCCCTCCATGTACTTGGCTTCTACATCCTTGAATTCCATGAGCCACATATGGAAACTACTGAGAGAAAAATGCATCTGAACTCACAGGACTTTCTTGTCCTCCTGCCCTACGCACATAGCATCCTATAAGGTATTAAAATTGGGCTAGAGATGAGTTGCAAGGCAGAGGAGGGTGCATGTGGGCTAAGCATAGTCACTATGCCATTGTATACAAAATACTTGAGCATCCATGGCATCCACGGTAACCTTGGGGTGTCTCTGAATCCATCCTCTGTGGAGACTGAGGATGCTTTCTCTCAATTACAAAACAAGGAAATGAGTATCTCTCAGTGGGGCTGGGTATAAGAGATGAGTTAATACATAGAAGTACTTAGCACAGGACCCAGTAAATTCCTGCCGTTTACCCTAATTAGAACTAATTACGAGATAAGTTAATTATCACAGTGTGTGTGCAGGCAAGCCCTTGATCACAACACCTAATGCATCTATAATAATGCTTCCTACACACCAGGCCCTGCTCCAGCTGCTGTCCTTAGGCTGGTTTATGCAATCTCACACCTATGTTTAATCTCACACGGGGATAGGGAAGAGCTGGGCATGTCTGCCTCTCATTTCCAAACGAGGAAAGTGAAGAAGCATGGGGAGACTGAGTAAACTGTCTGAATCTTGCAGTTGGTATAATTTACCACTGTCACCCATAATCTAGGACAATATTCTCCATTCATGTTCCCCGGAACCCTGAACATGTACTTCAGCACACGGGTTGGTGGGGAGCTGTCTCTTCAAACCAATATTCATCTCTTCAGCTAAAATCCACTGATTGAGCCAGGTATGGCACAGAAGATGAATGTCTTCTTCTTTGGAGACTGTAAAGCAGTGGCTGGAGACAGACGTGTGTGTGCATGAGAGCCTTCCAGCTGATCAGAACTGTTCTGAAGAAGACTGTGATAGCGGCTGTAAGAGATGGGATGAACCCGGGAAAATTGTGAGCCAGAAGTCCCTGAAGGGTGTGTAGAGAAGTGTGGGGTTCCACCGGAGCACACCAAGCAGATGTTAGCGGCGGGGGGAGGGGAGGATGAGCTTCAGGGCTGGACTTCTTAAGCAGAGGATTTCATTGGATTAAAAAGTTTTTTTTTTTTAATAAGCTGAATCAGTGGATAAATAGTTGGAAGAAAACTAGACGGGGAAGAGTTTGGAAACCACTGATGTTAAGCACACTTTGTCATTTTAGGAGTCAACAGTCCCAGCTTCTGACTTTGACCTAACTGTTGTGTAGTGCTGGGAAGAACCCTGGACTCCTCTGGTCCCCACTTCAATACCAGCCTATGGAAGGGTAATAGTAATTACAATGGCTGCATTTCAGGAGTGTTTGGGGCCAACCAAGGAGGGCTTTAAGGAAGTAAGGTCATGGGAATGCAAAGAATGGGAGACCTGGGAAGGAGACAAACTCATCTGAGGTGGTCAGAGGGAGTATAGCTCAGGGTAGGCATAAATGAGAGCTGCAAGGGTGCTTGAGGGGAGACAGCCTTGCAATGAGCCTTGTTAGTTTCTTTCATTGGCTGGGAATTGTCTCTGGGGAATAAGACAGGAATTATTCAGTCCAGGGCACAGAGAATGCTGGAAATCAGGTAGCAGGTTAAAATGAGTTTTCTGGGATTGAGGAATGGAATTCTGCTCTTAACTGTACATGGCTAGGCTATTGATCTACTTCAGAGAGGAGCCTGGGATAAATTATTAAAATTATACTGTTTATAATAAATGCTTAAGTTTTCTTATAACAATCCAACAATGGGGATCATTTCTGAAAGATGACCTACATTTGGGCTCTGCTCAGCTCTTTGCATGCGTGTGCTTGCAGGCACGGGCATGTGTGTGCATGCACATGAGCTTGTGGGTGTGTACAAGCGGGGTTGTTGGAGCCTAAACAGCTCTAAGGAAGCCATGTAACGAGAGGTTTCTAATTATTCCTTCCACTTCAGAATTTAAGAAACCAAGGGGCAGAAAAATCATTCACCATGAAGAAAGAATGTGCTCTTTGGAAACGTCATACAGCAAGGTAATTGTTTAGAAGTCACAGGGTTTCCTCCGTGTCACCTTCACCTGATACATGCTGCAGTTCCAAACTGTGTGGGTCCCGGAAGCCACTTAACCAGCCCAGTGTGTGATTAGATAAGTAGCCAAGTGTTGTGTGAGCTTCCCGAGTGTGCCTGTCCATTAGTGAGCCCTGAGAGATTACGCCAGCAACGTTCACACAGTTCTGTGCGCGCCTTGTCTCCCGCCCTTATCACCATTAATAGGATGGGAGCCCACAGTGAGTTCTTATTCTGAAAGCCAAGAGAAATGCCTGTTATATGAAGTCCTATGCTGGTAACATACAGGCTCTGAGTGAGTCCAGTTAGTATTTTCTTACATGTGTGTTCAGGCTTGGTTCAAATGTCTTTTGTCATCACTACCATTAAACAGGACTGAGATTCTAAAAGGCTGGTGGTACCAACTCTCTAGCCACTGTCTTCTGGGCTCTATTGTACTAAAGGCAGCGTCCCCAGTCCACAAACAGCTCATTCTTTTGAGGAAATGAGCAGAGAGCTCCCCGAAGCCCCACTGAAGACTTCAGCAGACAGCCAACATCCCTTCCCTGACAGCTATGTTCTCCGTTTTGTTTCTGTTTTTATTTTTTGTTGCTGCATGGTGTTACAGTTGGCTGTCATCTTTAACATTCTCTCCACCTGTTTTGCCAAGTTCTTCTTCCCACTCCCCCTTTATCAGGATGCCCCTCATACCGCCTACCACCCTCAGCCCAAGGACGCGGCATCAAATCCGAAGCAACCTGTTGCTGCATCACTAGAGAGGACGTCATGCTCTGGAGTCTGCTCAGTGTCTGAGCAGGGGAAGCCACAGTGGGGTGAGTGGGGGCTTGCACTCACCCTGGTGATCTGGATGCTGCTCAGCTGCTGCTGCCAGTGTAGAATGGTCTCCATCCGATACACCCACATGTTAATGTTGCCCACCAGCACAGACTTGCCAACTCTCTGGACCAGTGTGCATAAGGACGTGTAGAGGGTCTGGAGAAGTTCCCTTATGAGTCTTATGTTTTGCTGGTCCTCAAGGACTTGAGTGGGAAGAAGGAAAAGGAATATCAAAGTCATGTTATGGGGACCATGCATGACACAAGTGGTCTTTTCTTCTTTGTTGTCTACTCCTATGACTGGGCACAGTCTCTTAGGATGCCATCTTCTTTCTCACCCGTGTTTATTCTATACTCAGGTAATGGATAGAGTTTCCATTATCTAGGTCCCTCTTTGTTCTCTTCTCTTGGGTTTCTAAAGAGCTCTCCTGTTTCAATTCAGTGCCAATGGTCCACCTGATCAGAACACGGCTTTTCTGTTCAGTAGCTGACATGCTTTTGGATGGCCAATGGAAGACTGCAGTTTGGGGGTCCAGAAGGTTGAGTTCGAACCCTGCCTGGCTAACTTCTAGATGATCACAGGACGCTCATGTCTCATACGCATCAGTCCCCCCATGTGTGAAATGACTCAGTGGAGCCAGAGGTCTAAGGTCATGGCTAGTCCAGTCTATGCCTCCGTTCTGCCTTGCACACAGCTAGGAATATTGAAGCTCCGAGGTGAAGGGTGGGGCACATGTCCTCAACGAGGAGCCAGTCAAACTTAAAGTAAGGCAAACAGCTGATTCTAAAGAGAGAACAAGAAGGCAGTGGTCTTGTTCTTTGCCAAGGGCACGGGTGGTACCTTTCTCCTGAGCTGGAAGCGAGGGCCCCTGGGATTCAGCCGACATTGTTTGTTGCCATCCACTCACGTTCCTTTAAATCTAACGACATGCTACTCGATGAGAAAGCCCACCTGCCTGTTCCCACGCCTCTCAGGAGGGTTGAGAGAGGGCGGCAGAGCTCACCTTTCAGCACAACTTTTTCCAAGATGTTCATGAAGTTCTTCTGGGCGATACCACTCAGGGATGTGAGCTGTGACTTTGCTATCAGTTCCAACAGCTGTGGGTAAAAATAGACGTTGCCAGGCTTAGTATACAGAGAGATATTTTTCTCCTCTAATCTTCACTTTTGAGTCACATGACACGCAGATACAGACTGACAGGGGAGAGAGAGCGATAAATGGCAAGCAGGGCCACCAGGCAATAAAACGCAGATGCTCCCAATGAAAGACAAATGGTGGTAACTCAACACTAGGAATCAGGTTGAATATTTAATGACTTTTTTTCTTTTATATATAAAGGGTTTGGGCTTCGGCCAGGGCTAATCCATTCTATTTGGTTCACTGGAAAGGAGAGCTGACAGTATTCTGGAGGGAACAGAACCTCCCGTGACCCGTGAGCATAGGAGTTCTGCATAGTCACCCCCAGGGGGAACTGTTCTTGCCCTGGCTTGAACTTCCATCCACTGGCACCCACTGCTCTCAGGGCACAGCGAAGCCTGTGTTTGGTGGCCATGTGCCTGAGCCAAGGAAGGGGTGATTCTTTTCTAGACACAGTTTGCTTTTTCATGTTCAATAAACCTGCCTGACTAGACTCCTTTGCTGCATTTACCTTGTTTTAAATTTTATTTTATTTCTATAGAAAGATGGCAAGGAAGAGAAACTGAGGGGTGCACAGTGTGTCTGTCTATTTCTTCCCGGAGGCACAAAGGAGAGCCCTTGTATCTGTTAGCTTTGATGGTGTCTTATTTAAAAATTATTTTACATGTAGGAGTGTTTTGCCTAAAAGTGTGTAAGTGTACCATATGTGTGCCTGGTGCCCCTGGAGGCCAGAAGAGGACATCAGAATCCCTGGAACTAGAGTTACAGTGAGTTCCAGGACAGCCAGGGCTACCCAGAAAAATCCTGTCTTGAAAAATCAAACCAACCAACCAGCAAACAAACAAAACCCCCAAAGATGTGAGTGTTGAAAAATAAAATGACAAGAATCTTCGAGATCATCTAGTGCAACCCACTTCTCAGATGGATCAAGTGAGGCTCAAGAGTACCACCAGGGTCGGGGAGATGGCTTAGCAGGTGAAGATACTTGCTGTCAAGCCTGATGACATGAACTTGATCCCCAAAGGCACATGACAGAAGGAGAGAACTGTTAGTTGTTCTCTGACCACCACACACGCCCACACACAGGCATGCACACACACAATAAATAAATGGAACAAAAATTTTGACGAAGACTCTAAACTCTATGAGTGATCTCACAGCCTGCAAGAGGACTCAGCTGTATTTTTACCACATAGGAAAGTGGGAGCACACACTGTCTGTCTCAAAGAAACACCACACCAAAAGGTTGCTGTAAAGGCCAAGCAACTAATTTCTTCACAAGACAAATCAAGTCCCCAAGAAAAATCACACAGACTTAGGCTTAGTACACTGGACTTTGAAAACCAAGACCCCAGTAAGACAAGACACAAGGGAAGTAACAGAGGTGGCTACAAAGCAAAACACATCATTTACATATATGACAACAGCATAATTTAATTTATTATGTGCAATTAATATATTATAATATATTCTAATTCTGAGAGGAAAGAGAAAAGAGACCCCCCCCCCGGCCTCATTTTTTGAACTCTGCCCTTACAGAACATTCTCAGTGGAACCCTAACTCTCCCATCACAAAATTAACAAGGCTCTCCTTTGAGTTGGAACAAAATTTTCACTGTTTTTTGTTTGTTTGTTTTCGCGACGGGACTTCACACAGTCCGGGCTGGACTCAGACTTACTACAAAGCTAAGGATGAGCTTGAACTTCCGATCCTCCGTTCTCTATCTCTTTAGAGCTGGGATTACTGGTGCATCCTGCCATGCTTGGTTTACGAGCCGCTGGAAATTAAATTCTAGTCTTTGTGCATGCCCAAGCAAATATCCTACCAACCGGGATAGTCTTGGCCCTAGGAAGCTTTCCAAGAGCATTTCATCGGACTGGGCCCCTGCCCGATTTCCTGAACGGATATGACACAGTATGGGATGCTGGAATCAAGGCAAAAGGAGGAAACAGAGTAAACCCCCAAATTCCTCACTGCCAAAACAAAACAACATGAGAACACAAGAAAATAAAATAAAAGCAGGATTGCAGAGGAGGACAAACTTTGGACCTATGTCCTGGGTGGTTCAGGGCACCTCCGTGTCCCAGGCCCTCATTTAAACATTTTGTCTCCTTTGGACCCCTGTCAAACCACAGATAGACCTAGTTCCTTCAACATAATTTTACTTTAAATTGGAAAAAAGAGTTTTAAACCTCAAATGTCTTCCTGCTGGGTTTGGTATCTTTGACGTGTGCAGGGGGTGGCATGACCTCTTGACTCGGAGGAGGAGGAGAAGGAGGCAGAGGAGGAGGGAGAGGAGGAGGAGGGAGAAGAGGAGGAGGAGGGAGAGGAGGAGGAGGAAGAGGAGGAGGAGAAGGAGGAGGAGAGAGAGGAGGAGGAAGAGGTGGCGCTGCTGTGTTGTGCTTAGTGCTACAGATCTACACTCAGAAGCCAGGGGCTAACAAGAGTGACATAGACTGTCGAGGCATCAAAACACACCCGGGTGGACGCTCTGTCCATCCCGAGTGACCACAGCTCTCCGTGCCTTTCTGGTTTAGTTCAGCCACCAATCAGCACATGACGGTGAAAAGAGGAACACAAACCTTTCATTTTCTCCCTGGGCAACAGCAGGCTGTAGAAAGCCAGGCTGAGGTTTATTAATACCCAGAGCATCACATGACCAGCATAAAGCAAGACGAAAGGAAACAAAAGCCTGGAGCCTGGAGCCTGGAGCCTGTTCCTGCGGGGCAGGCGGCTGAGCCCTGTGACTCATCTTGGGGGTAGGAGGTGAGGCAGGGGACAGCCTGCGATCAGCCAGAAACACATCCAAAACAGATGCCATGTGACCCCCAGCTCACCAGAGTGTCAGTATTAACCTGACTAAAAAGGCACTGGTCACAAAGAAACATAAATAAATAATAATAAAAAAAAAACCCTCCTCTGCAGCAGGCCCTGACGGTGCATCTAGGAAACCCCTGCAGAGTGTGCATTGAGGGGAAGCAAAAAGCTCTTTGGGCTGGCTGGTAGTATTTTCCTTAACTGGGGAGGGGGAGGGACAGAGCAGCCAATTCTGTCAACTGACAGCAGGTGACATGTCAACTCTTCTCTCACCCTAGCTGCAGGGAAAGTCCCTGTTGCGATTGCTAGGCAGCTGCGGAGCCCTGGAACAGGAGAACCGGATTCTTGATCCAGGTGACCTTTATAACTGTCATTCATTTAGCAAGAATCTCTGTGTCCGCTCTGTCCTAGCACTGAGACAGATGACAGGGAAGGATGACAAACACGTGACCCCCCGGACGCACGGAGTTTATGTCTAGTCATGTCAATAAAAAGACTATGTACGGGGGAAACAAAACACCAGCAAAAGATGACCCATGGGATTGCTACGAGAATCAAATGAGATAAAAACAAAAACTTACTGTGAGTACCAAACATAAAGTGTTACTACCACTAAGAAAGCTCTTCTCCCCAATTCTAGTCTTAAGGAGTAGGCAGACTTTTGTAAAGGACCAAACTTTTTTTGCTTTTGGTATTTTTAGACAAGGGCTTCTCTGTGTCACAGCCCTGGCAGGCCTTGAACTCATGAAAATCTACCTGCTTCTGCCTCTCGAATGCTGGAATTAAAGTCGTGCACCACCATGCCTGGCCCCCCAGTAGTGACTGAAATAGTAACTGTTTTAAGGCTGGTGGGTCATTCAGTCTTTATACTAAAAATGCCTTGCAACTGTAACACAAGTAACCATAGACACTATGTAAATCAATGTGTACCATGCGTATATCAACAAAACTTTATTTAGAAAAACCAGTGAAGAGCTAGATGGAGTCCTACCATTACTTCTTTTTTTAAAATTATTTATTTATTATGTATACAATATTCTGTATATGTGTGTGTCTGCAGGCCAGAAGAGGGCACCAAACCTCATTACAGATGGTTGTGAGCCACCATGTGGTTGCTGGGAATTGAACTCAACCTTTGGAAGAGGAGGCAATGCTCTTAACCACTGAGCCATCTCTCCAGCCCCCCCTGCCATTACTTCTGGTACACATCATAGAGATTCTAAGTGAAGGTCCCAGAGTCAAACTGTTTTGTATGCCAGAACCTATTTTAGAATTGTTTTGAAGAACAAATAGTTCATTAAACACTCACAATATGCCAGGAAAATATACTTAGTAGCTTATTATTATTATTTAAAGAGAGGGTTTCACTGTATAGCCTTGACTGTCCTGGAACTTGCTCTGTAGACCAGGCTGGCCTCAAACTCACAGAGATTCGCCTGCCTCTGCCTCCCGAGTGCTGGGATTAAAGGCGTGCGCCATCACCACATGGCTACTTAGTAGCTTATTATCATCAGCTTTTCATCATAATACAGAAAAGACAGCTAGATAAAATTATTGCCAGGAAAAAAATAGCGAATTAGCAGGGTAAACGCACAGCTTGTTTAAGGACTCTGTGTGTCAATTGTACGTGTTGTCAACTAAAAGCTTTCTGATCTCATTATTCCTCTGATATCTTTATCTGTGGTGCACTTCAAAGCTCTGTTGACACAGTTCATGACGTGACCAGGCGATTCCACCACGAAGTCAAACTTTGCTAACAACAATGGATATTTATGGTATGCAGAGATGGTGCCACACAGCTTACCTGCGTGGTCTCGGTTTTCACTACAAAGAGGTTAAGTTCCCCATGTGACAAAGAAAGACGCTAAGGCTCAGAGCTGTCAAGCAGCAGTAGTAAATTGGGGAGTCAATACTTAAGTCCAGATATGTTTATCAGAAAATATGTATTTTTGTGGCATTCAGGACCCCACTGTGAAAGATAACAAATAATTTGGTATTGGTATGCAGAGCAAGATTTTATTCTATATATTTATTTATTTGGTAGCTTTGGAGCCTTTCCTAAAACTCGCTTTGTAGACCAGGCTGGCCTCGAACTCACAGAGATCCTCCTGCCTCTGCCTCCCGAGTGCTGGGATTAAAAGC